ATGGTCTTAACTCTCAAAACTCTGAGCCAAATAAATTTTGGCTCTGGTGGCGTATGCCTATAATCCTAAATAGTCTGGAGGCTGAGTTCTGGGGATCATGGTTCGAAGCCAGCCAAGCAAGACAAATCCAAGAGATTCTTATTTCCAATGAACCAGTGAAAGGCTGGAAATGGAGGTGTGGTTCATTGGTAGAGCACCACCCTTGAGAGGAAAAAGCTCTGTAAGAGTGGGAGGCCCTGTGTTCAAGCCCTAGCACTGACTAAATAAATAAATAATGAATAGCTTATTTATTATATATTAGATTTTCTCTCTTGCTGAATTAGGTGCTTCTTCTGTGTTTCTAAAATACACATGTACCCAGCACCCACCTTCATCCATATCAGCAAATACAGTTTCCCCACAATATATGAGCTTTCAGGTGACTCATTAATTGGTTCCTGTGTGTATTCCACAAATATGTCAAATACAATGTCCCTATAAATACAGCTGTGACCAAAAGACATAGTCCTTATCTTTTGGTCCAATTTGTAGAGGAAAAAACTTTACATGTATACTTCTAGGTAGATTATCCTTCATAATAGCTTTGCAATTTAAAGAATTATAAAAAACATTCACTTCCTTCTTTCACTGTTCTTCTTAGAAATCTTGACATTATTCCTAATGTTACAAATAATTTGGGGGTGTGTGAATTATGAGTTGTTTTACTACTTTATTAATGTCACTTTTTGCGTGTGTGTGCTGGTACTGAGGCTTGAACTCAAGGTCTTGTGCTCTCTTTTGGATTTTTTCCTTAAGACTAGTACTCTACCACTTGAGCTACATCTCTACTTGCAACATTTTGTTGGTTAATTAAAGACAGAGTGTCACAGACTTTTCTGCCAGGGCTGGCTTTGAACCATAATCCTCCAAGTAGCTAGGATTACAAGCATGAGTCACCAGCATCTAACTTTCATAAATCACACTTTCATAAACACCTTTCCTTCCCAATAGTTATGATACTAACCATTTCTCCTGAATAGCTTAGAACACATCATTTTTATAAAAAGAGGTGATTTTTTTCGGGGGGGGGGGACTGGGAAGGTGGCTCAGTGATAGAGTGCTTGCCTTTTATGTATGAGGCCCTGGGGTTTGATTCCTCAGCACCACATAAGCAGAAAAAGCTGGAAGTGGTGCTGTGGCTCAAGTGTAGAGCACTGGCCTTGAGCTGAAGAGCTGAGGGACAGCGCCCAGGCCCAGAGTTCAGGCCCCACTTGTAGTTTATTATGATATATGTTTTTCCTTCCCGGTAATAAATTGGATACTGGTACAGAAATGATGGAAATGTAGGCCAGCGGACATCAGGCAACTGTCAGCTAGCTGAGTGTATAAAAGAGATGATGATGGAAAACTAGGGTAGTTGGGTGGTGAAAATGGGAAGGGAACATGATTCCTCGCTCCTCTTCAGAAGGTACGAGAAAGGGTTTAAAGAAGAAAATAAGCACTAGGAGCTGGTGGCTCATGCTTACAATTCTAGTTACTTCAGGAGGCTGAGATCTGAGGATCCAGGTTTGACCCTAGCCTGGGCAGGAAAGTCCATGAAACTTTTATCTCCAATTCACCAGAAAAAAAGATAGAAGTGACCATTAGAAAGGATAAAATAATAGCATTCACAGGGAAATAGCTAGAACTAGAACAAATCATGTTGAGCAAGGTAAGTCAAGATCAGAGAGACAAACAGCACGTGTTCTATCTGATATGCAGATGTTAGATTTGAAACACAATGAGATATGACAAAGTAAACAGTACTCAAGTTACCCATATACAGTGAGACAAAAAGAGGATAGTCTCAGAAGTAAAGCACTAAATTGTAATACCCAAGCACTTCTTATATATAAAATAATATACATACTGAAAAGAACCTCAATGACAAAGAAACAAATGACCTCTTCTTAATTCATCCTATTCTTTACCTCATATATGGTGTATATGCGTGCACATATGAGGGAAGGTGGGAACAGCACAGAATCAGCAGAAAGCAGGTGGAAAAATACAGCAGAGGGGCTCATCAGCTGCACTGGACACTAATGAAAGTGTACTAAGCAACTCAAGGGCAGTGATGGGAGGGAGGAGATGTGAGAGAAAGAGGAACAGCTGATACTAAGCAGTAGTAAGCAATTTGTGAGAAATAGTTTTATTGTCGAAGGTCATAGTGTTCATAAGCTATGTAGGTTAAGGTAATAATGACTATCATTGTGAAGATTAAAAGGTGTTTCTGACTTTAGCTAAGTATAACTATGCCACAGTATTGTGAAATTTATGTAGTCACCTAAACTCATTAAAGAAATATTAGTGGGGGAGAAGTGATGCTGTGGCTCAAGTAGTAGAGTGCTAGCTTTGAGGGGAAAAAAAGCTCAGGGATAACATACAGGCCCGAGTTCAAGCCCCGGGACTGGTGTGTGTGGGTGCACTACAATAAAACCAGTTATAGGAAAATTCATATGTGTGATAAACTTTTACCCTGAGTAATAATCTTAGAGAACAATACTGGTTTTCATAAGTGAAGTAATTCTTTATACACTTCTAGCATAGTTTTCTCTTGTTGAGTTCAGAATGGGAGATGGTGGCAGTGGCAAAGGTATGCAATAAAGACTCAAATGCAAGATGCCTATCAGTAATGTAATTCAAAATAATATTCCATAGGGCACCAGTGACTCACACCTGTAATCCTAGCTACTCTGAGGGCTAAGACCTGAGGACTGCAGTTCAAAGCCAACCTGGACAGGAAAGGCTGTGAGACTTATCTTCAGTAAACTACCAATAAAGCAGGAAGTGGCACCGTGGCTCAAATGGCAGAATGCTGGTCTTGCATAAAAGAAGCTCAGAGACTGAGTTCAAGCCCCAGGACCAGCAAAATTTAAAAAAAAAATCCAACAAGTTTAATCACCCACACATCAAGCAAGTATATGCAATAACACCAATGGAACTAGAACCAAACTGTATGGGTTAGTTCACTGGCACTCACCAAAGGGAGCACATAGATGTGGTGAGGCAGGCTGAGGACAGGCGGTTTTGAGGACTATAGGAAAAGGTCCCTTGAGGCTAGAGTTGGAAGCTGTAGTGCAAAGTTAGGAGTCTTTTGAGAGCATTGCTCTGATTTGAACATCTTCAGCTTGAACTTGTATGACCCGTTTTCAGGAAGGTTAGCTTGCTTGCTATTCTAGACTACTGCTGGCTGCCTTAAGGTTGTTCATTGGCATGTCTAAGCCATTCCCAAACTCCTTGGAGTTGGCTCATTAGCCATGTGCACATTGCCATGGATGAGGGGGGGGGGGCGGGGGAAGGGGAGGGTAGAAAGACCTGTGGTCATTGGGCCATCTGGTCAGTAGGCCATCTGGTGGCTGCTTGTGAGCTTGCCCTATGTTCTTTTTGTTTGTTTGTTTGTTTTTGTTTTTTTAAATGAGCCTGGGCATAGTCCCTAACTTTTGGTACTCAAAACTAGCACTCTACCACTTGAGCAAACCTATACTTCCAGCTTTTTGGTACCTAATTAGAGACAAGAGTCTCACAGATTTTCCTGCTCAGGCTAGCTTTGAACCAAAATCCTCAGATCTCAGTCTTCTTAGTAGCTAGGGTTACAGGTCTGAGCCACCGGCACCCAGCTTGGCCTGTGTTTTGCTGATAACTGATTGTACTACACTTAGAACCAGCTCCTTTGCTGTGAGCATGTCATAATTTTTCACTGATAATCTGCTAAGAAATTTTGTTTAGATTTTAGTATTTAATTAAATGATCTGTTCCTATTCTGTGAATTAAGTAAAGGCCTTTCTAGAAAACTAGTGATTTGCCAAGTACCTGTGGCTCACACCTATATATTGATGCAAGCCAACTACATAATGTAGCAAATAATGGTAACAATAATAATAATAGTATCTCTATCTCCCTCTCCCTTGTTTTGTTAAGTTGATGAGGAGGAGCAGTTCTGATGGAAGGAGTTAGAATATAGATTAGCTTTGTTACCCTACAATCACTTGTCTAATCATTCAGAGACATATTCAGTGAATAAAGGTGTCCACCTTAGACTGATCTTCTAAGATGAAATGAGGTAATATGCTTTTTTGTTAAATGATGTTATGTGAAACCAATATGGCATTCCTGCTGTTTGCTGTTGTTCTGTTTGAAAAGGTCCGTCACATTCATCCCTGGGGACCACAAGGAAGCAGGCAGACATAGGAGAAAGATTATTACTAGGTTTATTAGAGGAACCATATTTCCCCCCGGAGATAGAGCATAGGGCAGCCTCCATTATCTAGGTAGCCACAGGGCCTGAGGGGTAGGAAGTGAGGTAAGTGCGAGTTCAGGTAGATCTAGGTGGAGAGAGGGAGGGGCCAGCTGTGTGGCAGGAACTCCAGAGCAGGGAGGAGCTCAGGTCTGGGTGGAGCTGAGGACAGAAGGTGGGCATAATGCTTATACTGTTGGCCTTTATGATGATTAACTTAGTAGTTCTGGATTCTGTTGTATTTGTTATAATTGTATTAAAACATCTGTTTTGTGGCAAACAATATTTTTGGTAGTTAATTGGAGATAAAGAATCTCATGGACTTTCTTCTCTGGGCTGGCTTTCAACCATGATCCTCAGATTTTAGCCTCCTGAGTAGCTAGGATTACCAGTATAAGCTACCAGAGTCTGGCTTAAACAGTGTATTTTTGGATTGTGTTTCCAATTTTACTTTTTTTCCCTTTATTTAAATGAATGACTGCTACATAATAGACTTTGGAATACTACCTAGCCTTAATATAAACTAAAATAAAATAACTACTGGTTTGTAGATAGAATTTCAGTGGGACATAGAGCAAATTTCCAAGATATTAGGATTTCAGGTCCCTTGCTTAAGGTTCAGTTTGAATTTAACAGACCTCTTCATAGTAGTTTGATAATGATGAAGACTTTTTGCACCTAGGATATCAGAATATTGTTAAAGAAAAATATGAGTAAAATACTGAATTCTGTTCTTTTTCTACAGTGCCTCCAAAGCCCTTACATCTGCAGAATTCACCTTCATCCAAAATACACCCAACCCCCAGGCATAAAGCTTTACCTAGAGCAAAACCCAGGATGGAGGAAGTTAAACCTGTCTCTGCTTCTTGTGTGTCAAAAGAAAAATCCAGTAAGGTTTCTGATCTCATCAGTCGCTTTGAAGGAGGCAGGTAAGAGTTAATGGACAATGGGAGAAGGCAGAGGGAGGAAGAAAGCTGATTTTGGAAAAGACATAGGTTTTCTAAATGAAAAACCTAGTATCTTCCATTTGGTTTGGTAGGCGATTAAGAAGTGCATTTTTAAAATCAGCTACTTAATTTTGCCATGGTATGATGTCATTGACTTACTATACAGGCCCCTGTGCTGCACTCTGGGCCACCAGTGTTTTTATAAACTGGTGTATATTTTATAGATGTGCTGTCTCTCATTTCCTGTTTGTGTGTCTTACTCTGTGTGTGTGTGTGGTGTGTGTATGCATGCATACTAGTGCTCAGGGCCTTAAACTCAGGGCCTCATGTTCTTGCTTAGCTTTTTTTGCTCATGACTTGTGCTCTAGAATGCTCTAGAAATCATGACCAACATAAATCTCCATTTAAATGTACTTCATAAGCCAGCTGTGGTAGTATACATCTGTAGTCTCAGTACTCTAGAGGCTCAGGTAGGAAGATTCTGAGTTCAAGGCCAGCCTGGGATACATAATAACTGTCTCAAAGGAAGAAAAGGAAATGAAAAATAAAAGAAGTGAAATTATATGAAACATGCTTATAAAAATATTATGCTGTTTATTGTGTGCTTATTAAAATGTAGTTCTAGCAGCCTCTTTGGGGAAAAGTAATTTGGAATCCTGTCTTTACTTACTTTTTCACTCTGGACTAAGTGTGAGGACTTCTATCATAAATACTCAAATTTTCAACAGCTCGTGTGTGTGTGTGTGTGTGTGTGTGTGTGTGTGTGTGTGTCTGTGTCTTTGTCTTTGTCTGTGTCTGTGTGTGATATGTGTGCATATGAGCCAGTACTGGGGCCTGATTTTTTGACTTTTTCACTCAGAGCTGGCACTCTATCATGTGAGCCACACTCCCACTTCAGGCTTTTTCTTGGTTAATTGAGGGTTAAGAGTATCATAGACTTTCCTACTCAGGCTGGCTTTGAAGCCAGGATCCTTAAATCTCAGCCTTTTGAGATCTTAAAGGTGATCTTAAAAGCAAGCTTTTGGAGTCTGATTTAATTCCATTAATTTTTTTCTGTTCCTCTGAATAAGCTGATTTATTAGCAGAAGTGTGATCTTTCCTGTTTGCAGATTCTAGCAGCCATGCCTCCTATCGCTTAATCCAATGACTTGCCTCATACCTAAGCCTTGAGGGCAGTTTTGTGAAACTCTGAAAGAGTCAGTAGTCCAACCAAAGGCAGAAGCCCCTGATCCTTACCATTTCTAAAGCCTACTGTTTACATCATTTTTGCATTCTTCTGTAACCTCACAAACCCAGAGTCATTTTCTAATATATATCTAGAGGGGGTTTGATCTAAGGAGAAATGAACTGACATTTGTTTCTGAGTTTAGAAGCAAGTTTGTTGAGTGTACTTAGGATGTGATGGAAGTTTTTGGCAAGCATGGTGAGAGGATGGGTGTTATTTGTGTCTGAGTGCATTTCAGTGCAAACAATAATGATGTGCTTAGTGAGGCTTTGCCAGTGCCAACTGGCCCTAAACGTGTCTCTGTGGTTTAATACTACATTAGGTTTAGATGACTCCAGTGGGAAATTCTTATTTACTGCTGAATGACATCCATTTCCCTGCTGGGTGGTTTTGAGTCTTTTCTTTTTTTGTGCTGTTCCTGGGGCTTGAACTTCAGTCCTGGGTGCTCTCCTGAGTTTTTGTGCTCAAGGCTAGTGCTCTACCACTTGAGCCATGGCTTCACTTCCTGCTTTTTTGGTGGTTAATTGGAGATGAGTCTCATAGGCTTTCCTGCTTGGGTGGCTTTGAACTGTGATCTTCCAGTCTCAGCCTCCTGAGTAGCTAGAATTATAGGTGTGAGCTACCAGTGCCCACCTTGATAATTTCCAGTTTTAATCCCAGTTGTTGATTCTAGAATAAAGAGACATTCCTAGGTTTTGAGTTACTGTAAGAAAGGACAGAGAGGGGCTGGGAAGGTGGCTCAGTGGTAGAGTGCATGCCTTGCATGCATGAGGCCCTGGGTTCAATTCCTCAGCACCACATAAGCAAAAAAAAAAAAGCCGGAAGTGGCGCTGTGGCTCAAGTGGTAGAGTGCTAGCCTTGAGCTGGAGAGCTGAGGGACAGCACCTAGGTCCAGAGTTCAGGCCCCATGACCGGACCACCTCCCCCCCCCAAAAAAGGAAAGGACAGAGAGAAATCATGTCTGGTATGGTGTTGTCGGCTTGTCACGGGCTGGGGTAGTCACTTGACTATTACTAAGGTGTTCTGTACAGTGGTCCAACTAACTTTTTTAAAAAATTAAGTGTGATTGGGAGCAAGTAGTGTTTATTTATTTTTGCCAATATTGAGGATTGAACTTAGGGCTTTGTGCTCTCTCTTGTTTTTTTTTGTTTTTTGTTTGTTTTTTACTGAAGGCTAGTGCTCTACCATTTGAGCCACACCTCTACTTCTGGCTTTTTGTTGGTTAATTGGAGATGTCTGCTGATTTCGAATTTTGATCCTCAGACCTCAGCCTCTTGAGTAACTAATTACAGGCATGAGCCATCAACCCTTGACTTCTGTATAATTTTTTTCTATGAAATTTTTCCTGCTCTTTAGCTCTTCTTCCTCTCCCTCCTTACGTTCTTGGGGAAGTTGGATGAGCAGACGAGAAGACCAGGAATAATGTATCATATCCAGGTCATGGGAAAGCAGCAAAAGGGCTGGGGATGGGAAGAAGCTATCACATCTCAGCCTTGTCCACGGGGTCTTGCTGTTCTCTCTCCCAAGACCTCCACTCCCCGTCACCTCTTCCCACACTGGGGAAGATCACCAGCCCTGGACTGACTTGGTCCTGTGTTTTTGTCTGCAGCGCCACCCCCCACCTTCATTCCCCTCCATCCCCCCCACCCTGTCTCATCCCATCCTGTGTTCCAGCATGTAGTCAGGTGGAGTAGGGGTTATAAGGAGATTCTGAGTTGGACTCTGTGGCTTGCTACCATCTAACATTGGCTCCAGAATGCGTTTAGATTCCTAAGCCTAGGTTTTGCCATTTCTGGCTCCTTGCTATTCAGAGTTATGATAAGCATGAAACATGACAAACTGTGTAAAAGGGCTGAACGCAATGTCCAGCCCTTAGTAACCACTTTTAAAATGTTACCTGATGGCTAAGCACTGGTGGGTTACACTTGTCATTGTAGTTCCTCAGAACGCTGTGATCTGGAGGCTTGACATTTCTAAGCCAACCTAGGCAGAAAAGTCTGTGAAGCTCCATCTCTAAAGGACAGGCTAGAGGCATGGCTCAAGCCTAAGAGTGTCAGCTGTGAGTCATCAGCCAAATAAATATGAGGCACTGAATTCAAACCTCAGCGCTGTCATGACTGGAGGTGTGGCTCAAGACATAAAGCACCTGTCTACACCTCGGCACTGTGAAAAACAAAAAATATAGCTAAGCACCTATGACTTATGCCTGTAATATGAACTATTCAGGAAGCTGAGATGAAGGTTGTGGTTCAAAGCCAGCCCAGGTGACAAATCTGAAAGACTCTATCTCCATTTAGCCAGCAAAAAGCCGAAAGTATACATGTGGCTCAAGCCATGAGCAAAAACACTAAGGGAAGCCAGGCATTGTGGCTCATGACTGTAATCCTAGCTTCTCAGGAGGCTGGTTTGAAGCCAGCCTGGGCAGAGAAAATAAAGGAGGCTTTTATCTCCAAGTAACAACCTCAAAGTCAGAAGAGAAGCTGTGGATCTAGTTGCTAGAGTAGTAGCCTTGAGCAAAAAATCTCAGGGACAGTGCCCAGGCCCTGAGTTCAAGGACACTCAGCCCCCCTTCCCTTCCCCTCTCTTCAGGAGTATTTCCATATGAATATTGTTCTATGTTGGGAACAAGGTTCCAGTGTCCTGTTTGTGCTGCTATGTAGCGCTAGTGATGAAGTATATTATTTAGACAATCTGTTCCAGAACAGCTATTAGAAGATGCTATCCAGTCACAAGCCTGAATGAAGAGAAAGGAATAAGTCCCATAGTGTGCTGAGGAAGACAGTCACAGGCAGAGGAACAGGGAACACTTGGACTGTGTCAGGCACAATTGGAGGAGGGAGATATTTTGAGAAAGGTGGTTATGTTTTCGCTTGCTCCCTGTCTGTATCTTCTTCTGTGTTACCACTCATGGGCATCCCCTCAGAGCATCATGGTACTCTTCTGTAAGTGTTGATCTGACTATGGAGACAGGTTTGGAGGGATCATGAAGTGTAACCCATTAGTGCTCAACCATCAATTAGTAGAACAGTTAGGACACTGCTGCAGTGCATGCAGATCAAGTTTTTCAGAACACATTCTGCTTTTTAAAGAAAAACAGCATTTTGAACCAGGCGCTGTTGGCTTATACCTGTAATCCTAGTCATTCAAAAGACTGAGATCTGGGGGTTGCTTTTCTTTTTTTTTTTTTTGTCGGTCATGGGGCTTGAACTCTGGGCCTGGGCGCTGTCCCTCAGCTCTTCAGCTCAAGGCGAGCGCTCTACCACTTGAGCTACAGCGCCACTTCCGGTTTTCTGGTGGTTTTATTGGAGATAGGAGTCTCACGGTCTTACGTGCCCGGGCTGGCTTTGAACCGCGATCCTCAGATCTCAGCCTCCTGAGTAGCTAGGATTACAGGCGTGAGCCACCAGCGCCCGGCTTGGGGGTTGCTTTTCCAGGTCAGCCAGGCAGATAAGTTTGAGAGACTCTAATCTGTATTTAACCAGCCAAAAGCCAGAAGTAAAGCTGTGGCTTAAGTGGTAAAGTGCCAGCCTTGAGTAGAAAAGCCAAGTGAGAGAGTATGAGACCTTGGGTTTAAGCCCCAGTCCTGGCATAAAGCAACAAAAAAGCAAATGAGTAGAGACTACAGTTCATAAACTGGAGGTTGTTGTACTTGTTTTAAATAGTAAGGAAATAAACTTCCTGGGGATGGATTATTTATTAACTGTGAATATTTGGTGTGTGGGGGGAATGTGTATGGGTGCGTGCACACACATGCCAGTCTAGGCTTGAACTGAGGGCCTAGGCATTGTTCCTGAGATTTTATGCTCAAGTCTAGTGCTCTACCACCTGAGCCACAGCTCCACTTCCAGCTTTTTGGTGATTAATGGACTTTCCTGGCTGGGCTGGCTTTGAATTGTGATCTTCAGCTCTAAGCCACTTGAGTAGCTAAGATTACAGGTATGAGCCAAGTGTTACTCACTAGTCATACTATTTTCTTTTTTCTTTTTTGGTCCAAGACTGGAACTTGAACTTAGTACCTGATGATTTTGCTCATTGGTTAGCGCTTTACCAGATGAGCCAGATTTCTAACCTCTAACTAGTCATGTTATTATGATGGCCCAAGGTGATGTGTTCAGCTTTGTGGATAAAGCTCCACATGTTCATTTAACTGTTTATTTACACCTGTACAGCATCCCTCTAGTGCCTGGTTGTCAAATCATCAGAGTTAGAAAATGGAAGAAGCCGGTCTTTATTCCAAATCTTTTCCCATGCCATGTTTTCATGCCTTTTCTGTACTTCACCTTTTAGCACATTATCAAACTCCAGTGATCTGAAAAAAGATCCTGCAGTGAATCTAAATGCTCCTCGAACCCCAGGACAGTCTGGCTTCACACCCACTTCTCCAGAAAAGCTCCTCTCCCGGCACCCACCACAGAAACAGGGAGATGATCCCAATCGGACTCAGGGCGAACAGGCTTGTATGGCCAATGGCATAATGGCAGCACAAAACCAGACGGAATGTGAAGAGAACCAAGCGACCTCTCCCAGCCCCACTGCTCCTTCGCAAGCTGCCGAACCCCCACAGGAAACTCACTTCATCAATGGAGAAAGAGATGAAACGACCACCGATGCTGCAACCCCCACGACCCAAGACCGTGACGGAGATGCTTCCCATAGTAGCTGCAGGGCTCCAAGTCCAGACACAGTGCTCCCCCTAAACAAAGGACAGTCAGACACAACGGACAAGGAACAAGACAGGGACAGTGGAGAAAGCCCCATGGAATCAGAGCAACTGGACCAGCACCTTGAGATGAAGGTTAGAGCGTGAGACTAGCTCCTAGATGGGTCCACTTAGTCCAGGGCTGGGTATCATTCCTTTCCCAGACCCAGGAAATGGCTGAACTGGTGTAAGCATTCACTAGCTCTAGAGAATTTGTGAGAAGGTACTTTGTGGTTTGGAGTGTTGTTTTTTTTTTTTTTTTTTTTTTGTCAGTCGTGGGGCTTGAACTCTGGGCCTGGGTGCTGTCCCTCAGCTCTTCAGCTCAAGGCAAGCGCTCTACCACTTGAGCCACAGTGCCACTTCCTTTTTACTAGTCGTTTATTGGAGATAAGAGTCTCACAGAATTTTCCTGCCCGGGCTGGCTTTGAACTGTGATTCTCAGATCTCAGCCTCCTGAATAGCTAGGATTACAGGTGTGAGCCACTAGCGCCTGGCTTGTTTTGTTGTTGTTTTTGTTTTATATATATAGTTTCTGTTGTTTTCTCTGTTGTGATTTTAAGACTCAAGATAGTGTAGACTTTTGGGAAAACTATGAACTCGTCTCTAGGTAGGAGGAAAATGCTTTCAGCTCTAGATGTTATAGCTACATCCTAATATAATTTTATTGTTATTATTAAGGTGTTGTACAGATCAGTTACTAGGGGCTGGGAAGGTGGCTCAGTAGTAGAGCACTTGCCTTGCATGCCTGAGGCCCTGGGTTCGATTCCTCAGCACCACATAAGCAAAAAGAAAAA